CCCCAAAACCCCAAAACCCCAAAACCCCAAAACCCCAAAATTTGATGGGATAGTTGAATTTAATAAATTAATATTGACTGGCATGATGTCGAATATTATTCAAGGTACTTATCCTCCCCACCTCTGTTCGAACAAAATAGAATGTGTCCTATTAGATCACCACTAGAACAATTGATCTTAGATTGTATAAAATATTGCACTGATTTTAGTTAGTTAACATTTAATTTTAGTTTTATGGAAGATAGTAATATTACAAAACATTGATTTGGCTTATTGGGATTCTCAAAACTTAAGTGGGAAGATATAAAATTTAACAACAATGATACTCCAACCAGAATTTAAGTTTCTAAAGAACAAAGTTTGCTAAACTTTATCAAATTTATTATTTAGCAAAAGAGGCAAAGCAAGAACCTTTAGATTTTACAGGATATCGAGAAGTCATTCTTACTTGGAGGATCATTGGAACAATCTGAGTCGTTGTTGCTATTACGTTCATTCTTTGGTAAGACTTCAGTTATTCTTTAATTTTCAGCCATTATTAAATTGCAAACCTACTAATCGATATAGGAGATTATGGAAAGAAGTGAGAGACAAATATATGGATCTACTTAAGATCCTACAATTCTGAACAATACTGATCCACTTCTTCATTACTCTATTCGCCTTGATAGTGGGGTTTGTTCATGACTGAACAAAACTCTACTCTCTAAAGTTCTTAGTATCGTTTGATGGAAACTTAATCAGTTTTATTCTAACAAACCAAATGTATTGGCTAAGCCTCATTGTTTACATCAAACACTTTGAGAGGATGGGAGGAACTCTTACATACGACCAAATTAGGAAAAGAAACAGAATATTTGAAGGAGTATTTCTAAGTTGTATCCTTCTGTTCTATATCCTAAACATTACAGCAATGGTGCTGATCATCATTGGACAGTTTGGCTATAATTGACACTTCTTCAAGGATGCAAAGAGCAGCCAGGATTATGAAGCCTTCTGCAGCTTTTCCCGAGTCTTGCAAAATTTCTTCTATTACTCGAAAGCTCCAAGCTTTGTCATTTTCTGCATAGTATACTGAGTTTTGTTCTTACTACTGTTGGATACGATGAGGAGGAATTTGAACTATTATTACAAGGAAAGAAGAAAGCACCTGTTTTTGTTGTTCTTTTCGAGTGTGTTCTTTATGGGGACTACTGTTGTTCTTGGAGCAATAGATAGTTGATTTGATTTGACTCTGTACTCTTTGAATTATTTTAGTGAGGATTTTAATAGTACCAAAACTGTTTTTGTGTTTATCTTTATTTTGGATGTGATTCAGCAGATGAGCTACTTTTTCTACATTTTTGATAGCATCAACAACATAAACTTCAAAAAATACCTCTGGGATATCATGAAGGGTTACAGAATTGATGAACATTATGGCAACTCCTCCATCTTCCTTCGTAAATCTAAGTTTTGGAAGCAAGCTTACGAAGAAGAAGCTCATGAAGAAGAGTATTTATCTTACACATCCACTGCCCCAGATGCAGAGTCGTTCCAGTCCCAGTTGCTTCAGAGGGAAACTGGAAGTGGTGAAGAAAGCGCAGAAATATACCAATTCAGACACAATAGTGAAATCCAATTACTCACTGAATCAGATGACCTCTAATTTTCAATACTTTTGTAAAAGTTCCTTTAGACTCTTATCCGAGCTAGACTTAGCTCAGATACAAATTAAGTCAGCTTTGGTCATAATAGTAAAATCTAACCAGTGCAATTCATTCCTGAGGTACATCTAGCTCGGAAACGTGTAAAAAATATGGTTTTACTACAATCATCTTCTGTACACTCCAAAGACTAGAAAATATCCTGGTCAATAAATTTAGCATATACTCACAGTTTGAAAATTATGTTAGAGCTTATATAAACGCTCTCTGGTAAACAGTACCATCATTTTGCCTATTAGCCTCTTTATTTTATCCTCAAAAACAAATATATTGTTGATGCTAGATTTTAAACTGTACATTATCAGTATTTTCGACTATTTTTGTCTTTCTTAATATGAGCACTGAAGTAAGTATTTCTATATTGTTCTAAATGAAAATTTACCTTAAAATCTTATTTTATTGCTTTTAAAATTTCAGTATACATTTTGGAGATAAAACCCATATGCTTCAGGTAACTCTCCATTATTGCAGTAATGAAATAACCTGGATGAAAATTTTAAGTTTAATATTCAGGTAAAACTATAGTATCTGGCTGACCCACTATATCATTCCAAACTGTAATATTATATTTATGGAAAAGTATGGTGTCATCTAATCTATAGACTTTCCAAGTCGTATAGCGAGTCAGGTGAACTTGAGCTGGAAAATCAGACTCATAAAGCAACTCCTTCATTGCCGCTTATTAGTAAATGGGATATAATCTGTAGGATTAGAAGATCACATGACATCAAGTCATAAATAAAGATGCAGAAAGGCTAGTGGTCAAGGTTCAGTATCAACATGAGAGCCATTCGAAGCTAAAATATATCCAAGATTATAGACAAAAGGTCGGACTGATTAATGATGCATCAAAAGGTGAGAGTCTTTTTGTAAGAGCTAAATTATATATGATTAGTTGAGACTTTGGAAACAAATCATTAGGAATAGTGTAGAGTTGCAGAGTATCAAATTCAGCTATATATTAGATACTTATAGTTATATACAAAATCATGGATCTCATGGATGGTTGTACACTAAGTTGTTAGACTTAGAACAACTCTCAACAATAAATCGAAAATAAACCTATTTTCTAAATAAAATTTTGTTCTTTACTTTGATAAAAATTAAATGAAATAAAAAATAACCTCCCTTTAATTTAATGAAATGGTCACTAAACCCAAAGGTGTTGAGTCTTAGCGCTATATAAACTCTTTCCATTCATTCTACGAGACAACAGATGAAATCTGTTGTTTCGCAGATATTTTTAAATTATCAAAACTCTCAGATAAATTTCTTAAATTTCTATCGAGATTTCATAATATTCTTAGATTTATGCTGAAAGTTGTCAGAATTCCAAGATTTATGAAAATCGAAAAATTTAAATCTAAGATTTCTTGCAATATTCAGCTCAATTTTTTTATAGAAAAATCATTTCAGTCTTTTGTTGAACTTGTGTGCATATTTGAGAAAGTGAACCAAGTTGAGTTTGAAGACCAACAAGATATTGATCCATTCCAAGATGAAGCACTTTTGCAATCAGCAATGGATTATTGCCTCTCAATCAAAAGTCTTCTTTGCACAAAGTACATACTCGATAGACTTAGAGAGGACAAAATAGAGCCAGTGGTTGGGATCAAAGCTCTAAGTGAGGTTATACAAGGAATTTCCAGTCTTCAAGATCTCTCAGAGTCAAGTCATAGTATGAGTAAAGAGCCAATGGTATTTTGAAGTGCAAGAGATGCAGTATGTTAGAAAATTTAATTTCTTTATCTTTCATATTTGGATGCTTAATCTGGCAAAAAATGCTTATTTGGCTATAGTTTTCAGATGATATTTCAGCAAAGCTTGAAGGATCCGATGAGTGTGTTAATATATTAAAGACTTTGATTGAAAAGAAAAATTGCACTCTAAGATATGGAGACAACAATGAAGGGGTTTCAGATATGCTCAGATCAATTTATCACAGGCTTGGGCAAAATGCAATGTAAGTTGCTGACATGATCTCCTAGCCAGATAGATTCAGAGAGAAAATATAATAGCAAGAAATCTATGAAAGAAAATTTTGAATCAGATCGGATAAATGATTCTAAATCAGAGGAGGGCTTTTCTTTTTAATATTGAAGACACGGATCAAAACCACAAAGAATCAGTAAAATTGAATTACTATTCTCACCATAAAAAGTTCGGAGGACAATCTTTCCATGAAATCCCTCCTGAACTGAATACAAAGAAACTTCTAAGAATGGACACACTCAGAGTTAAATAAAATTCAGCAAATTATCTCCGATGAATACAATATCCCAGGAGTCAAGTTCTTCGACTTGCATCTGCTCAACATGAAGAAGTAACTTCTTTCTCATCTCTAGTTCCCACACCAAGTATCTGGAACCCAAAGATATTATTGAAATTGCTCTTTCATTCTGTCTCTTTGATGGGTAACCTTATCGTCTAATTTATAGTTCTCAAGTTTTCGAACTGTGCACACTCATGTACTCAGGTCAAGACTTGTTTTGAGCCAAGACTGAGAGTATTTTCCCGATTCCAGTATACAAGCTGATGTTGTTTTACGAAGAACTCGAAGCTTTCCAGCTCATGTTCAACCAGGAGCTCTATTTTGCAAGCAAAATCAAAATTATAGCTGAGAGCCTGTCGTATTCACTTATCATTAGCAACCCAATGATTGCAGTGTTCATTGCGAATATGTACCCTGATGAACTGTTCCACAACAAGGCAGTAGCCATCGACACTATACTTCATTATCTCAAAGAGTTCACAGAAAACAACGGAGGTTCAAGATATCGGTAAGGGTTGGATCACCTATAGACGTGTCAAGCATCTAGAGCAGTACCTGTTCATTGTCGAGAGAATGCTTTGCTTCTTCAATTTTGCTCAAGCTAAGAAACTCATCGAGATTTTTAATGACTTTATTGATATTGGCCAGAATAAAGAAAAGAATGGATCTGATAGAGTATGAGACGAGTTTCAGAATAACTTTTTGGTGTATTCTCAGACTCCTATCAAAGAGTGAGTCTTGATTATGTTCATATGCTATAAACTAAAGAGCTCTTACAAAGAACTTCATAAAGGATATCAAGAACTCGAAGATAAATACTCACAAATTGTCAACCTACTTCTTGATGCAACCGAAGGTAAGCCTTTTATCTCACCACAGATATATCTCAAGTTGAACTGATCCTGACTGCCAAGTGCTTCAACCGTAAAGAAGTCATCGATCTTATTTCGGAGTGTGATTTCCAGTTAGTTCTGAACAATGACAAAGTGAGCAGAGTAGTTACTGACTTCTGGAAAGGCCCCTATGAAACTGAGTTCTTTATGAACAACTGTTACGCATATGCTCAGATCCGAGAACTCTTCATTGACTCAAAAAAGTTCTTTGGATACAAGCCTGCAGGGGAGTACGCATTTAGCATTGACAGACTCTGGAGACAAAAGTCTCAGAAAAAGATTTTTGAAGAAAACGAAAAGTCAAAGAACAAGGCAAGATATGCAAATAATTTCCAATTTGAACAATGGGATAAATCTTTAAGCACAAAATATTTTATAGAGACATTATTCATAATTATCGGCTCGACGATTGTGAGTATAAATTCTTCATACACTCTTGAATTATCTATTGAAGCGCAACCATCTGCAACAACTGTTTTAGGAATAGTATCTCAACTAGAATCAGATGGATTATCTGAAAGTACTAGGCAATCACTAATAAATCAAGTTGAATCAATTGCTAATGAGGCTGAAGAAAGACTCGAAAAGTTTTTTAGATCAATCGACATAAATATTATGGTAAATACTTTTAATAAAGTATAGATTAACTGGATTCTAGCAACGTATATCCTTAAACTGATTAGTGAGTATATCTTTGTCAAAATAAGATCAAAGAGTTTTAGCTTTATGGCAACAGATATTGTGTTAAATATTATTTATTTTGTGACTCTCACTTGGATGACCTGACTATTACACTTTGATTATTACCAACACGCTCCTCGAAGTGATGAATATTATTATGTTCGTGTCTATCAATATGCAACTACACATATGCAAGATGTTGGAACGCAAGTTTGTTTTGCAATTCTTCTAATGGTTCATACTATTAGAGTCTTGAATATACTTAGAGCCTCTCAAACCTTTGGACCTATGATTGAGATAATATTCAGTATGATTATTGAGCTCTTTAAATTCATGGTAATATTTCAATGTATTATCCTGATATTTACAAGTTCAATGAGAATCCTGTTCTTCACTCTCCCTGAATTCAGCAGCAGAACTGAAACTTACGTCACTCTCTATTCAGCTTCTCTTTCAAATTTTGATTTCTCAATATTTCAATCTGAATTAATGTCAGTGAACAAGCTTTATGGATACTGATTCATGGGATTGTTCTTACTGGTGTCAGCCATTGCTCTTCTCAACTTCCTGATCGCAGTCATTTCTCATGTGTATGAAAAGCTCAACCAAATAAAAGTAGGGCTCTATCTCAAATCTTTGATTGGAATTCGCCAAGTGATGCAGCACGATGATCGATACTCATGCTTGGTGTCATCAGTACCCCCTCTGAACATTGTTCCATTCATCATGACTCCAGCCGTGTTGTGGATGCAAAGTAAAAAACTTAATTATTGAATTCTACATTACGAATACTTGGTCGTAGCAATTGTAGGAATGACACTCTATATTTTATTTGCCATAATCTGAATTCCTTTTGCTTATGTTCTCATAATTGGAACATTACTAAAAACTATGTGAGGTAAAAAGAGATCTGAAAAGTCTAAATGAACTCAAATTACAGATCTATTTCTATTTATCATCTTTGGATTCATAATGCTAATCTGAAGAACAATTTGAGATTTCGGTCTGTTTATTTGCGACTTGTATAATACCAACCTGATAAAGTGCACAGATATCGAATCGACTTCGGTAAATACAAGAAGTACAATCACAGGAGAAGTTGATAAAAACTTTTACTTGCTATTTTTATTGTTTTTGAAGCAGTATCCAAGCAAGAAAGTACACTCCAAGAAATTGATTGCAGATTTAAGATCTCTGTTAGATATTCACCAACATTTGAGGACGATAATATTTTCAGGTAAAGAGGCCAACCAATTATTTAAATCAAATAAGTAAGTCATTAATTCTTGAAAGATTTTTAATGCTTCGCCTTTTATAGTATAGCACTAAGAAAGACTCTAGCATTTATTTTATACCGCAGATTTTGTATAGTTAGGATACGAGGTTACATCTGTCCAAATTTATTCAGACCTTAATGACTTTAGGACTTTATGGGACAGGAAGAATCTTGATAAAACTCTGAAAAAAGAAGATAATGATGACTTGATGGAATTCAAAGCCAAAATATTCAGGTCTTACTCATCCCAAGAAATCCTTGAGCAGTTCAATATCCTTAAGAAGATTATCAACAAGTGTTCGATTCCTAATATGCGCAAGGTTTAGTGGCAAGTGTAACTATGTAGGAAGGAAGAAGAGGTTTAGAATCCAACAAAGAAAACTTTGCCCGTAATTTGACGAGTGACATTTTAGGTGACTCGTGGGGGTCGATAGGAGATGATGTGTAAGCCATGTGTTGAAAAATTTTCATTTACAACAATGATCAAAGTTTTTCTTTCTTTGTTTATCAGCAAAAATAAAAAATATCTTAATTTAAAAATAATATCCAACTAATTCCAATCCACTCTAGCCATCCCAGTCCAACACTAAAGAGGACCAAAACCCAGAAAGAAAGACTCATAAAAACCCATTTCCAGACCATATTTTACATTCCTGAGTTCCTTGACACCACCTCTGAACTACAGAACAAGGAGGTATTCCAAGAACTAATCTACGGTAAGTTTCCTCTAAATCCTAGCCAATACACATGAATGCTCATCAATTTCTAAATTCACAAAGGCAGGTAGGCACAGATCCAATCTTCTGGAGAAGGACTCTCTCAAGATCAGTAAGAACTGGTTCTCTCACCTATAGATCTCGAACTGCTTCGGGAGCAGTACCATACTAAGGTGCCTAGCCTGCAGGATCTGAAGCTTCTAGAAGTTACCAGGAATTATGAGTGCCTAGCAAGGTTTTGCGAGAGAAATTAGTAAAAATGGGGTTTTGAGTCAATTGGAAATATTAGTGGTGGGGTTTTGGGGTTTTGGGGTTTTGGGG